GACTTAATGATAATGAAAACTTTTCGAAAATAACAATAACAAATAAGCAAATTATATTCGGGTCGTAAGCGAATCTTTTACACCCATCACCTTTATCCTGAGAAAGACGAAAAAAGTAAAAGAAAAAACAAATTTTCTTGCTTTGCAATACGTCATGGACAGAGCTGATTTTTTCTATTTCCAAAATAAAAGCTTTTGCCGCATAGGCATGTGGACTTCAAAATTCTTTTGCAAATTTTATAGGGGGCATCATCATCATTTTCGCTAACGGGAGAATGTTTAACACAAATACTACACAGTTGCGTAGGCAGACAGATAGATATTGAGTAGGCGTGGCCAACTTTTCTGATTTTTATATAGGCACTACAGCATCACTCGTAGAATATGCATCCAAATTTTCGAACGTTTATCTGATATAGTTCATGACTAAAGAGCAGAAAAACATTTTACATGCTACTGTGAACGTTTCCTATGACCGATTTGGCCCATTTTCAATACCAAACTGCATGGAAAGACCTCACATGTTTCTGCCAAATTTGAAGTCGACAATTTCATTTTTGTGTGACGGACAGACGGACATGCTTAAGTCTATTTCGAATTTGATGCTGATCAAGAATATATATATATACTTTCTGATGCTTCTTTCTGGGCGTTGCAAACGTGTTGACAATGTGAATATACCCCTAATACTTTGGTGAAGGGGTATAATAAAAAATTTATATTTCGCTTAGAACGTTTTTTATTATTTCTCTACGCTCAAACCAATCTGCAAAAACGGGGTATTCTACGACAACGTAACTATCCTACCGTATAATTGATCACTAACCGATTCCAAGATTGATATATATAACAACTGATTGTAAGTAAATTTACCACATGGCGTATTTAAATTTATAAAAACAAAAATGTAAAATACAATAGTATGTCGCATACAGCATAGATACGTACAGCATCCTTGACATTAGCAATTTCAACGAGTAGCATCCGAGTAGGGCCTAATGTAAAATCAATGCTGATAGATCGCTTTTTAATTTTCAAATTTTTCTTAATTTAATTTAGTCGGATTTAAAGTCAGTTTTCAATGAAAGGGTATATATATCTTAACTTTGCGATCACTAATCATAAAACGAAAAACAATGCGTATCGAATTTTTATCAATTTTGGTCAGAAGAAAATGTTACGATATCAGTTTCATTGGTAGAATAACTTTCTCAAGTCCCGCAAAGCCCACAGGAAAAAATGCCTTATAACGTGTAAAGCGGGTATAACTTTTAAGAATCACGCCATTTGTCACCTTGATGCGCATTTCTAGGCATCGCACAAACGTTTAACGCACTTAAAATATGCCTTACGGGGAGAGTGCAGCGAACCATGTTTTTAAGGTAAGAAAGTTTATTTATGTGTTATGTATATATGCGTAACTTTTGCTTTTTTAAGAGAAACAGTAAACGCAGTAAATCATCGGGTAAGCGAAGAGACAAACATAAATTAAGCCAATATTACAATATAAAATGATAATATTGTTACACTCAGGTATTGTGAAATAGCATTTTATCATCAAATATTTCAGTATCTACCAAAGATGTATCTTAATAATATCTCAAATGAAATGAATTACGTAAAATTTAATTCACATCTTTTATGTGAATTCCCTAAAGCGAAAGTAAACCTTTGTTAAGTCCGTTCAGATATTTCATACTAGACTACACCACCGAAATGTGAACGCTGCTTTCTTTGTCCATGCCATTGTACTACCAAAATAAACACATTTAGCCGACTCCCTAAAGTAGGCACCAACTTTTATGTTTTAGGTTTTTAAGTCGATTTACCGATATTCACACTTGCAAGAATTCAAATCGGAAAATGAAATCTTTGTCCCACATGCAATCATTGACATTTAACTGATGTACACTGCATTATCGAAAGTAAACACAATGAGTTACTAAAAAAATTATAAAGAAAAGGATATAAAAAAACTACTTGTATGATACCCTACACCACGAGTGATAGAAGGTTAAATTAAATTTGTGCGGAAATGTGCAACGGCCAAAACAGTTGCAAATAGATTCACCGCTAATTATACCGATCCTAAGCTTGTCTGTCCATCTGTCGGTCTTGTTTTCTCTTTTTCAATTTATATGCCGCAATTTTTGCGATGTTTTGATGACATTTGGTACACTCTCACGCTTTAGATCAAAGACAAATTGAATTGTTATTGAATATGTTTCGGCTCAGACCACAAGTTCATACATTCTTGGCCACCATATCAAATGCTGACCCGATTTAAGCATATCCGTCTGTGTAAGCATTCTCTTAGCCGCAAAAAAAAAAATGAAGCTATCGGCTTTATGTATCGGTAGATACATTTGAACTTCTTGCATGCAGGTTGATATAGAAAATGGGCTAATTAAGTCATAGGAAATGCCCACAGTAGCACGCGAAATGAGAGCACCTCTGCTTTTCAATTAGCTTTTTGCTCTTTACTCATAAACTATAACTGCAACAGCTGTACATAATGGGAAAAATTGACCACGCCTACTTAATGTCATAATGTATCACAAGTTTATGTTTTGTTTTTCAATACCTTTATAACCCGCAGGAGCAAGTCGTAAAAGCCCCGTAAAATGTACAAATTCTTAGACAGTTTCAAACTTGTATTTCACCTAAAAATATCTGTCTGTTCGTTGATCCATCTACTCTTCTGCGAAACCGCCGCTTCGGAACAGTTGGTCGCCACGGTTTAACAAAACAGTTAAATACAATAAAAAAAAAAAACTTTTCAAAATATATTTCGTACAATTTCGTCTACTCTGCTGCAAG